GATGACGAATGAATAATAAACAAATTCTTTAGTCACTAACAAAAACAAGAAAAAGCTTTATCCATTAGCCAAGTAGGATCCCTGCCTCGGTTTAATTCAGTCCTGGGAACACAGACCCTCCTGTGGCAAGGACCCTGCGGCCGTTTCCCCGTGGCAGCCAGGAAAGACCTGGGTAAAAGCCCCCTCTAGACGACTCTCGTTCCTCCTCCCGCTTGACTTCATCTGCAGGCAGCTCCGGAGTACAATACAGCTATCGTATTCCCGTTTTGCAGATGAGGTGACTAAGGCACAGAGGGGCTAAGGCACTTGCCCAAAGTCACACAGCGAGTCGTGGGGAGCTGGGGTTTGAGTCTGGCCATGTGACTCCATGTGGCTACAGAGTCTGTGCCTTAGTCCCTTGATACTGTCCGCGAGAGGATGTGCAAGTGTTGTTTCCCCAAAACACGAGTCCTGTTCGCTTCCCAGGTGGGGCACTGTGAGTCCCTCTCAGCTCGCTAACCCGAAGGGGGCCAGACCGGGTTCTGTGTCCTCCCTGGGAGGAAGAAGCCTGCTGGCCCGGGACACAGGCTGCGGGCTCGGGCGCTGAGTAAAGCCAAGCCTGGTCCTCTGAGGACTGCGTCCCTGGGAGGCCGAAGCCAGCACCCGTGTCCTGCATGGCCTCCGGAGCGGGTTGTGGGTCAGTCCATGGTCAGTCCATGGGGCCCATGACCGAGGCAGCCCCCCAGCACCTTGTCCAGGCATTGAAGGGGACAGGTAGGAGAGAGGCGGCTGTGCCCCGCCCTGTGCCCCACACGGCCACTCCCGAGAAGGGCAGCCCAGGGCGCCTCCCACTCTGCTTCTCCCGGTGGCTGGGGTTCCTGTGGGTATGAGCAGGGCCCGGCGGGGAAGAGCTCACTGGGCAAAAGACCCTCATTTGTCCTCTTGTGGCCAAGTTCAGATCCCAGCTCCCCGCACACTTGCTGTGTGTCCTTGGGCAGGTTCCTCAGCCTCTCTGTGCGTTGGTCCCCTCTTAGTCCCAGGCTTCCTGCTGAGTGGCTGCAGCTGCGTCCCAATCAGCAGCCCGGATGCGTCCAGCTCCCAGGCCTGTTAGTCGCTATTAACTGACCGCACCGAAAACCCCAGGCAGAGCCCAGGAGAGCAGGGGCTCCCGGGAGGAATCCGTCTGTGCCCCGCTTGCCCTCACAGACTCCAAATCTCCGGATTTAGAAAGACGAGGCCCATCCCCCGCCCCCCCTGCCCCCCAGCCCCCTCCCGCCAAGCTTCTGTCCTGGGGAAGGAAGTTCTGAAGCAACAGCCTCCGAGCTGGGGGCCTTTGTGGTCTGCCCTGCAGCCGACCCGTGCCGGGGTTGCTGTGGAAGATCATTTTGCACTTTATTTTGAACAAAAGGACACTTTGCGGAGTGGGCTCTTTGCTGGCGGGATTGCGCTATTTTTATCGCAATTTACGTATGTGGCTGTGATCCCGAGTTAAAAGCACACTCTAAAAATAAGTGCTGCTCTCGAAACCGAAACCCGTGCTGAGGCCGAGCTGCCGCTGGGGTGGTGCGCGGTTCCTGCTGGCCGGGAGTGGGCGCTGGGCACCCGGAGGCCCTGAGAGAGGGTGATCTCCCGGGACACTGGGGCCGAGCTCACTGTTCTCCCAAATGCTTTTCCTGCTGGGATTTCCTCAAGAAACAGGGCGGTGGAGTTTGGCCTGGGCACCTCCTGGGCTGGGCCTGGATATGCCCACGGCATGACGCGCACACGTGCCTGCCTGTGGCCGGGCTCACGGCAAGTGCTCCACGCACAGAGAGCGTGGCTGCGGCTGTCGTGGCCGTCCCAGCAAACAGCAGCCCGGGTTCCGTGGGCTTCACCTGAGCCCCGCTCAGGCCTGGGGCTGCCTGGGCAGAGGAACAGAGGGAGAGTCTCCCATTTGCTGCTCAGATTCTGGGGTTGGCCCCAGGTCCTCCAGCCGGCAGAGCTTCCCGAGCGGGCGCACAGTGGGGCAGAGCACTCGAGCGGCCGCCAGGCGCTGCCGGCCCTCTGATTTGCAGAGAGAAGCCAGATATGGCGTGTGCACCTGAGTATTCGAAATCCACTGGATTTCAGCCGCCAGGCCAGCGAATCCCTGCCTGGGTGTGTTCACTGAGATCCCGGGAGCATCGGGGCTGCAGCCTGTGACCCGCGTCTGCAGCCGGGCCTGGAGGGCCGAGTGGGCCCAGCTCACCCCAGCTCCTGGCACGGCTCTCCTCCATGGCTGCCCTGCTTAGGGCTCTGGAGAGGCTCCTTGAGAACAGAAAACCCCATTTCTGAGGCTGCAGGGACACTAAGGGCCGGTGCCCACGGGGTGCTCCCATCCCCGGCCAGACACCTGTGGGCGCCCACCGCCTGCCCCAGCCCCTGCGTGTGTCTCCTCTGAACCCCCTCCCCAGTCCAGTGTGGCCAACGATCCTGCGAAGTTCTATCTCCAGCTGAGTTCCATTGTCGGACCTGGGTTTGCCCCTGGGTGTGGCTCCTCTCGGGCGACGTGGCCTCCCCTGCGCTGGTCTGAGGACCTCCCCTGCTCCTCTCCCCTCTCCAGCCTCAGGGAGCCTCTTATTTTTCATCTTTTTCTTGCAAAAACGTGCCACACCAAACCCAGCTGCGCTTCTCTGGCTCTCCCTCTGTCTCAGGGCAGTCTGCGTGTCCCACGCCTGTGCCTGGAGGGACTCTCCTGCTGGGGGTGTGATTCGAAGGTGGCCTCTGCCGGGGGCCCTGCCGCTGGGCTCAGTCTGCTTCCCGGTAAAGTCGCCCTGAACCCATGGGCATGGGTGGGGCGGAGCCGAGCAAAGCTGCTCTGACCACGAGGCCTGGGCCTGGGCAAGGACCCGGAACCGGAGTCGTCCTGGACCCGGACCCGGGGCCGGTCCCTTACCACAGGGGTGGGTGGGGGCTGACGCCGCGAAACACGCAACACAGGACGTTACGTGAAAGGAGCCAGACACGGGAGACCACGTATAGACGGCTCTGTTCGCGTGAGCTGTCCAGCACGGGTGAATGGATAGGGACAGAAAGTGGGTCAGGGGCTGTGGGGCACTGGGACAGGGTTGGGGCCTCCTTGATCTACGACGGGAATGTTCCTAAACTGGTCTCGAAGACGGTCTCACGGCTCTGTGAATATAGTGCCCCGAATTGCACTTTCACTAAGTGAGTGGCTGCATGGAATGCGGCTTTTATCTCAATAGAGCTGTTAAAATTAAAGACGAATATGTTTCGGTACACAAACAAGAACGAAAAGCGAGGGTGAAGACAGAACTTGAAGTGACCCAGTTGCCTCGATCTGCAGGCAGGGCCCCGAGTGGTCGTTATAAATGTCTCCGGGGGTGAGATGAGTCCGGGCAATCTCAGCAGAAGACAGAGGGTGTTTCACTGTGGGGTTAACAGCAGGAGAAGAGGTTAGGACGTCTGAGGACGGATCGGCTGGAATTTTCTAGCGGGATGAGCAGACCAGGGCAGAGCCTTGGTGTCTCGTGGGCTGATGGAGGCCGCGTGTTGATATGCGGGATGAGAGAGCAACTGTTCCGACATGCGTGGAATTAAAATCCCAAAACCAAGAGGGAGAGAAAGAATGCAGCACAAAGTCTTCGAAGAACTAAAAGCCAAAGACTCCCCAAATTTGGTGAAAACTGTTAACCCACAGTTACAAGAAACTGGACAAAGACAGCAGTGAAAATGCCAAGACCAAAGGGAAAAGAAAATCTCAAACGTAGTCAGAGAAAAGGGACGAGTATGCGCAGGATGACACGGCTCATTTTCATTTCAAACAAAGGATTCTTGAAGACAATGGAATAATACCTTAAAAAGGCTTGGTTTAAAAAAAAATTAAGCTTGTTGCGGGGGTAGTGGCTCACGCCTGTAACCCTGGCTTGCAGGAGGATCGCCTGAGGTCAGGAGTTTGAGACCAGCCAGAGCAAGAGCGAGACCCACCCCATCTCTACTAAAAACAGAAAAATCAGCCTGAGGTGGTGGCACCTGTAGCTCCTCGGGAGGCTGAGGCAGGAGGATCGCTCGGGCCCAGGAGTTGGAGGCTGTGGTGAGCTGTGATGAAGTCACTGCTCTGCAGCCTGGGTGACAGAACAGGACCGGTCTTAAACAAAACAGCAGCAAAGAAATAAAGCTTGTAAATATATACAAGGAAAATTATCCTTCATAAATGAGGGTGAAATAAAGATATTTTGAGATGTTTTTTTAAACTGAGAAAATCTGTTACCAGGAAAGATGAGCTATAAGAAATACCGAAGGTCTCCAGGCTGCAGAGGAAGGGAACCAGGTATGACTCACGCCTGCAGGAAGGCACGGAAAGCATGGATAAGATAAATATTTACATGAACAGTGTCAGGCGTGGAGCGTGTGTGTGTGAGAGTGAGGGCGCGTGTCCACGCCAGCGAGGAAGACACAGAACTGCCCTGTTGTGAACCTATGTTGCGTGGGAAGTGAGTCCAGGCTAATGCCAAGTGGTCTGCTACACGTCAAACACACACGTGGTAACTCCTAGAGCAACCACTAAAAAGGGTTCATTTACCATAGATCACTAGAGGAGGTAAAACAAAATACTATTTTTTTTGGGGGGGGGACAGAGTCTCACTTTGTTGCCCAGGCTAGAGTGAGTGCCGTGGCGTCAGCCTAGCTCACAGCAACCTCAACACCTGGGCTTAAGCAGTCTGCTGCCTCAGCCCCCGAGTAGCTGGGACTACAGGCATGCGCCACCATGCCCGGCTAATTTTTTCTATATATAATAGTTGGCCAATTAATGTCTTTCTATTTATAGTAGAGACGGGGTCTCGCTCTTGCTCAGGCTGGTTTTGAACTCCTGACCAGTCGAGCAATCCGCCCGCCTCGGCCTCCCAGAGTGCTAGGATTACAGGCGTGAGCCACCGTGCCCGGCCAAACAAAATACTATTTACCCACGAGAAGGTAGGAAAGGAAAAACATGGGTTCAAAAAATATGGAACACAAAGAAAACAGCAAGAAGACGGACCGAAACCCAACCGTATCATAAAATCACATTTAATGCAAATTTCGGAGACAGAAATTGTCACCCTGGGTCAGCGCTGGACCCAGCTCTGTGGCAGGCACCGGGGACACACTGTCAGCGTGGAGACCCAGGCGGGCGGAGAGGACAGGGACAGGAAAGGCAGGGACGATCGTGGGCTCAGGGCTGGACGAAATTTGCCGGCTCCGTCCTGACGACAGGGCAGGCCGAGCAGCCGGGCGGTGGACGGTCCCCGCAGTGGTCCTGGCAGCTGCTCAGGGGCTTTGCATGTCTGCTTGCTGGAAGGGCCAGGAACGAAGGCGTCTGCCGACTGGGAAAGTGTTTCGAGAGCCGTTTGGTCTCCGCCACCACGCTGCTCGCGCCTCTCACACGCTCCCGCCTCACAGTCCCCATGGGGCTCCTCTAAGTTCTTTGTTTCCTAATTTTAGAAAATCTTGGCCGGACACCGCGTGGCTCACGGCTGTAATCCTAGCACTCTGGGAGGCTGAGGTGGGAGGATCGCCGGACCTCAGGAGTTCGAGACCAGCCTGAGCAAGAGCGAGACCCCATCTCTACTGAAAAAAAAAAAAAAAGAAAGAAATTAGCCAAACAACTAAAAAATATATAGAGAAAAAATTAGCCGGGCATGGTGGTGCATGCCTGTAGTCCCAGCTACTCAGGAGGCTGAGGCAGGAGGATCGCTTGAGCCCAGGAGTTAGAGGTTGCTGTGAGCTAGGCTGATGCTACGGCACTCTAGCCGGAGCAAATGATTGAGACTTTGTCTTAAAAAAAAAGAAAATCTGGCCGGGCGCGGTGGCTCATGCCTGTAATCCTAGCACTCTGGGAGGCCAAGGCAGGCGGATTGCTTGAGGTCAGGAATTCAAAACCAGCCTGAGCAAGAGCGAGACCCTGTCTCTACTATAAATAGAAAGAAATTAATTGGCCAACTAACATATATAGAAAAAATTAGCTGGGCATGGTGGCGCATGCCTGTAGTCCCAGCTACTCGGGAGGCTGAGGCAGGAAGATAGGAAGATTGTTTGAATCCAGGAGATTGAGGTTGCTGTGAGCGAGGCTGACGCCACGGCACTCACTCTAGCCTGGGCAACAGAGTGAGACTCTGTCTCGAAAAAAAAAAAAGAAGGAAAATCTTTATGCATCTTCCTTCAGTTCAGCTGTGGCTGAGCGGTGTAGTCTGCTCCAGCCGGTTAGTCGCCACTTACCAGAGTCTCTTGACCTTGCTGGAATTTGTGATGAGAAATAAAATTTATGTTTTCCATTTTTATCTTTTAATTCTATTTTTCCACGAACTTTCTGAAGTCCTGCGGTGTATCTGACGAGGACCTGTATCCGGATACGCAAATTACTCCTGTAAATCGGAACAAAGAGACAAACAGCTCAATCAAAAAACAGGCAGAAGACTGACGGGCGCTTCACAGAGAAGACGTAGGAGGCGCGGGCTCAGCGTCGGGGAGGCGCGGGCGGGACCAGAGCGCAGGCCGCCGCCGCCCGCCAGGATGGCAGCGTGAGAGCGCGGCCAGAGGTCAGACAGCCCCACCCGCACGCCCGCACTCGCATCCACGCAGCTGCCCGTGGCGACCTCAGAGGGCACAGCCCAGGTGCTCCGTCTGGGGGCGGGTGACCAAGTCGCTGCCGTGGCTCCTCTGCACGGCGGGCGCATTCCAGGAGAGAAAGGAAAGGACCAGCGTTCGTTCAGCCAAGAACGGGGCGGATCCCTGAGACACGGCGAGTGGAGAAGGCGGAGCGGCGTGGCAGGTGCAGGTCCGGGCAGGCGGGACTAGTCTCTGGGAAAACAAATAGGAAAGTGGCTGCTGGGTGCAGGGGCCGTCCAGGAAGTGGGGGGGCTCTCACGGGGGGCTCTCTCAGGGCGATGGTGCAGTGTGTGTTCTCGGTGGGGTGTCGGCACGCGGGTGCGCACCTTCCCGGACACGCACAGAGTTGGGGGCTCCGTGGCTGTGCGTTTGCCTAAGCGAATTAATCAGGGCAGAGGGAACTCCGTGCGTGGCTTCCACTGATCTTCAGGTGAAGCCCGAGAGCCACCAGATCTGGATCTCTGGGAGGACCGGGAGAATGAACCCCAATAATGGAGTCTGGCCCCATCTTAGAGGGGTCTGGGCTCCCTCAATCCCTCTCGGAGCCCGGTGTTCAGAGGCAGCTGGAAACCAGCCCAGCGGGCGTCGGTCCCTCCACGTGGACCGTGTTGCTCCGGTGACCTGGCCTTGGCAGGTGTCACCCGCTGGGCGTGGCGTTTGCCAGAGGCGGGGATGTATCTGGTCCAGGTTTCCCACTGATGAGGGGACCGCCCCCGACCGCGTCTCGGGGTTCATGCTACAGAAGATTCTCGCAGACCAGGCACCGGCCGTCCACGTTCAGTCTCCGGCCATCAGAGCTGCAAGCGGAGAGGAAGGTGGAGAACTCGGTGAGGGGCACAAAGCCACCGCTCCCTCTGCACCATAGCCGGGAGCCTGCAGGGCTGGTTCTGGGGGCGGGAGGCACAGACGTGCAGGGGCCCCAGGCCCCCCAGGAGGTTCCCGCCAGAGCCCCAGAGCAGCTCCATGAGCAGCTCCAGAGCAGTCCTTTGAAGACACCCCTGACATGGCCTCGCATGGGCTCGGCACACGGGCGGCCTAAGACAGCCGCCCCACCCCCTCCTGTGGGACCCTCAAGAGCCAGTGAGCCTTTGCCCTACCTGGCCACACTGGCACCGGTCTGCCCAGGTGGGTGGTTTTTACAACCTGCCCCAGGTGAGCGTGGTGGGTGGAGCCACTAGTGCTGGGTGGAGGAGGCCTCCTGGCATGGGCTGGGGACACAGAGCGCCAGCCCAGCGGGGTGGAGGTGACGACTCTCGCTGCCCCCCAGCCTGGCACGTGGAGAGTGCAGGACCCAGTGAGGACACAGATGAGCTGGGGGCTGCCAGAACAGGAAGATGCCCCCGGCTGGGTGTTGGGGACGTTCTGCCAGAGGGTGCAGCATTGGCGACAAGACCTTGGGGGCCACTCTCGGTGACCCCGCCTTCGGCCGTGGCTGAGCCAAGTTAGTCACAGCCAGGGAGACTCTTCACAGGCACGTTGTCCCCAGTGGAAGCCTCAGACTCACTGGAACACGGAGCACTAATCACGCCACACGTGTTGCTGAGTCTGGCTCACATTCCAGCAACTGCTCCGTGAGATAATGACGGACGGTTCCGGCCGCGGCGACCAGAGGGACAGACTGAAATCCAGCAGCAACTCGGTTCCCGGAACACTTCTCCTCTGCACACGGGGTGAACCCTGAGAGACACATGGGAACATCCGCACGGGGACCCCGGACCCCACCCCGCTTTCCGGTTAATCTCGGCGCCTCGTAGAAGGCGGCGTCGCAAACGCCCGCTCCTGCTCCCCTCGCTGCGAGCTGTGGCGGCCGGCTGCCGTCTCTGTGCAAAAGGATTTAACAATTGCTGCTACCACAAAGAGGCTTTTCCTCGACTCTGTGAGATGAGATGTCGCCGGAGCGACAGTCACCCAGACAGCGTGCCGCCCCACGCCGGCTCTCCTGCCTCCCGTGACACGACAGTCACCCAGACAGCGTCTGCCCCACGCCAGCTCTCCTGCCTCCCGTGACACGACAGTCACCCAGACAGCGTGCCGCCCCACGCCGGCTCTCCTGCCTCCCGTGACACGACAGTCACCCAGACAGCGTGCCGCCCCACGCCAGCTCTCCTGCCTCCCGTGACACGACAGTCACCCAGACAGCGTGCCGCCCCACGCCGGCACTCCTGCCTCCCGTGACACGACAGTCACCCAGACAGCGTGCCGCCCCACGCCGGCACTCCTGCCTCCCGTGACACGGCAGTCACCTAGACAGCGCGCTGCCCCACTCCGGCACTCCTGCCTCCCGTGACACGGCTCAAGCACGGGTGACGTTTCTTTAAGAAGATGCTTTTTATGTTGACATAATTGTAGATTCATGGAAGTGGCAAAGATGACACAGAGAATTCCGGGATTCCTTCTGTGGCCACGTTGTACATGCCACGGTTCCGCCATGTGGCTGGGACATGCACCCCACAGCGTGTCTCTTCTCTGCCATTTATCACGTGTGTAGCTGCCGCCGCCGTCAAGACACAAGCACACGCACCTCGGCCAAACGTCCCCTTGGGCGTCGAGCCCCGACTCCCTCCCCGCCCTGCACCCCTGACCCCGCAGCCTCCCCACTGCCCTGGGACTCTGCCACGCCGAGAATGCCGTGGGAGTGGCTCGCTCTGCGCGTGGCCTTCCAGACGGCTTCTTCCCCCCGCGCCGCGCCGCAGACACCCGTCCACGTCCTGGCGTGGCTTTCCGCGCCGTGGTCTGTGTGGCCACGCGTCAGCTGCAGGGCATGCTGCGTGCCTCCGGTTTTTGGCTGTTTACAAATAAAGCTGCCATGGATGATCGTGTGCGGATTTTTTCGTGGATGCACGTCTTCCTTTCTCTGGGATAAATGCTCGGGAATGCGGCTGCCGGGTCCTGTGGGGAGCGCACGCTCGGGTTTGCAAGGCTCCAGCCACCCTCGGCCTGGGGGGCCGTGCCACGGTGTCGCCCACCGACAGCGAGGAGTGACCCAGTGTCCTCGTGTCCTTGTCAGCGTGGGCTGTCGTCTTCGTACTCTGTTGTGGCCTTTCTCCCTAACCTGCCGACTTGTTCCCTTCGCTTTGTGCGATCTTTGAACAACCGGGGCTGCGGTCCATTCCTTCTGGAGCTCACCTGGGAACGCGGAAGTTCAAGGCCACGGCCCTTCCCTGGGCTCAGGCTGGCCGAGCCCTCCTCCCCCAGTCATGCTCGGGGTGCGCTTATTCTGGGTCATGTGACTTCAAAATATCAACAAATTGGGAAATTTTTATTTCTATTTTTACCTTCTAGTTTTATTAATTTTGGTCAGAGGAAGAGTTGCACTATTTACCTCTCTTGGGCCTCACTGAGGTGTTTTTTTTCTTTTTTGATCGTCCGATGGATGGCTAGTTCTGGGGAAGCCCTGGCCCCTGCGAAGTGTGAGGGGCGCCCTGGGCTGGTGCCCGGTGAGGCCACAGAGTCCCTGCCTCCCTGGCGCCCCTCCCCTCCCCTGCAGGACCTCGCTTCTGGGCCTCCCCGGGCGGGGTCCCGAGAACACGGTCCAGGGGGAACGGTCGGGACGGGCTCTGGTCCCCTGGGGCGTCTGGCTGGAGGGTGTCCCGGCTCTGCCTCACGGTGCCACCTTGGAGGAAGCTCCACACCTGGGACAGTCAGGTCTGGATGCGACACGGTCAACCAGGCACTGAACTTGCCCTTGAGCCCTTGAGGGGCAGGGTGGGGTTGGGGAGAGGCAGGTGGGTTGAGCAGGGGCAGGTTGCGGTTGAGAGGGACAGATGTGTTGAGAGGGGCAGGTGGGGTTGAGAGGGGCAGGTGGCGGTTGAGAGGGCAGGTGGGGTTGAGAGGGGCAGGGGGGGTTGAGAGGGGCAGGTGGGTTGAGAGGACAGGTGGGGTTGAGAGGGCAGGTGGGGGGTTGAAAGAGGGGGCAGGAAGGAGTTGTGAGGGGCAGGTGGGGTTGTGAGGGGCAGGTGGGTTGTGAGGGGCAGGTGGGGTTGTGAGGGGGCAGATGGGGTTGAGAGGGGCAGGTGGGCTGGGTGGGATCAGGTGGGGGTTGTAAGGGCCAGGTGGGTTGTGAGGGGCAATGGGTTGAGAAGGGCAGGTGGGCATGCGTGGGACAGAGTGGGCGTTGGTAGGGCAGGGGGGTTGGAGGGGCAGGTGGGATTGTGGAGGGGCAGGATGGGGTTGAAGGCAGGTGGGCTGGGTGGGGCAGGTGGGGTTGTGAGGGCAGGTGGGGTTGGGAGGGGCAGGAGGGATTGGGGATGGGGCAATGGGGTTGTGAGGGGCAAGGTGGGGCTTTGGGAGGGCAAGGTGGGGTTGGGAGGGGCAGGTGGGGGGGGGGTTGGGAGGGCAGGAGGATTGGGAGGGGCAGAAGGGATTGGGAGGGGCACAGATGGGGTTGTGAGGGCAGGGGGTTGAGAGGGCGCAGGTGGGGTTGGGAGGAGCAGTTTTGGGGTTGAGAGGAACAGCCTTGGGTTGCGGTAGGGGCAGTTGGGGTGGAAGGGCAGGGTGGGCTGGAAAGGGGCAGGGTCGGGTGAGAGGGCAGTGGGGTTGAAGAGGGCAGGTGGGTTGAGAGGGGCAGGTGG